AATATTCCAGCAATATCACGGTCGAGGACACCAGAAATGGGCTACACATATTGTACCTGTGTGGGTAATTAAACCCTGGTCTTCAGTGTAATTTGCAAGCACTTTAACCACTAGCCTAACACCCTGCCCCTGAGATACTAGTAGTAGTAATATAGATGTTGTATATCTAATTGTAATGGCCTCTTTGTCCACATAGTAAGCAATGTAGTTGGATCTATATCTTGTCATCTATGGCATGTACACTTCATTGACAGTCGCAAGCTGGCTCTGTTACAAACGACCCGTGAAGATCCGGGGTAGAATAGGTCTTCAGCAACCCATTCTTGTCATAAAAGGCGACTATGCTTGTCGTAAAAGGCAACTAACGGGATCGGGTGGTCAGGCTCACTGACTTGGTTGACACATGTCATCGGTTCCCAATTGCGCAGATCGATGCTCATGCTGTTGACTAAACTCACTCACTCTGTTACAAACAACATGACAAGCACACATGGAATTATTTTCATGGATATTCTGTCACAAATTTGAATCCTCTCTGCTTTGAATGTCAGGACAGTAATTTTCTTGCATTAGACAATAATTTGTAAATGTGAATCAGTTGTCATTAATATGTACAGGAATATTTCAATTCGTCAGTCCTCTTGAATAAAGTAACACTAACCGCATAATTAACAGCCTGCTGACCATTTTGTGGTTTTGTCAGGAATTGACTCGCGCCATTGGTTTGACCAATGTCTACATCCCATGTATGTCATAAGTGGTGACTATGGGGATCAGTTGGTCAAGCATGCTGGTGATGCATGCCATATCCCTATTGTGTAGATGTCAATCACTGGATTGTCTGGTCCGGATTAGTGGTGGTCCGATTAATTGAAATTATCGAAGATTGGTCGCAGTGACTAAACGACCAAGCAATCGATCATGTTTTCTCATAATCGAACACAAAACAATTCTAGAACACTTATTTTCATTAACAGTATTTTCACTAGGTTGGTTTGTCTGTTACATTTCATAAGCACTACAAGCTCATTCCAAGTCATGATTGAATTTATCTTAAAGACTCTAAGAAATTTATGTTCCTCCATACTAGTCATCCTTTAGAGATGTGAAATTTTGCCCCCAAAAACCCAAAAGAACTACATGGTTTTTTTCCTTATTTTTGTGTGCATTAACATATTTCATAAATGACACTAACCAATTATTTTCGATGATTGATCGGTTGTAATGAACCAATCATCAATTATGAGATTTTAACCAATTCCCAACCCTTAATCCGGATTGACTAGGGTGACACATGTCATTGTATCAGAACTGCGTAGTTTGATGCTCATGCTGTTGATCACTAGATCGTCTGGTCCAGACTTGATTATTTGCATACCACCACCACACAGCTGGAATATTGCTGAGTGCAGTGTTAAACAACAAATAAACAGAGTGCCACTGAAAATGCTCTGGAGAGTTTTGCTTTTAGCAATATTCCAAATCACGGCGAGGAACACCAGAAATGGGCTTCACATTGTACCCATGTGGGGATTGAACCGGGCTCTGGAAGCTTTAACCACTAGGCTAAAAAATAATTTAAAACCACCACCCCCACACCCCACCCACACACCTGGAAGCAGCAACTTCTGCCCAGACAGGTATCTGCAGACAGGATGGAAGAAATATAACTCCATCTTTCTTAGAAACAGGAAGTTCTTCAGCCGGCAACCCTTTTTTCAGGAAATCTCTTTGGCATGTCTATCCCTCTCTGGAATGTGTGATATCTTTTAAGATTCTTTTAGATAAGCTTTCACATAATTTCAAACCCTGCCTGAAATGAAAGATAACAACCTATCTAGTAAGGCCAAACCAGTTACGGTTCTAGTTTTCCGACAAGCCAACCCTCAACACTGCTTCATTTCCAGGGTAGAACACAAAACTCAGATGCTTTATTTGACTGAGAAAATGACCGTCTGATCTCAGGTTAACCCATTCAATATTATTGTGTTATTTGTTCTTGCCTCGAAAAGTGTTTTCATGGTTTTTGCTATATTCCAATAATATATTATGGTGGTCTGTAAGTCTGGACCAGATTATCCAGTGATCAACAGCATGTGCATCGGTCTCTGCAATGGTGATAAAATGATATTTGTCAAGTTTTCATGGGTATATTGGTCTAAAGGATATCATTTATGAAACTTAATCAGATATTTAATTTCCATCAACCAAAAGACATGATAAAATATTTGCACATGGAACATTTTCAATCAACAAACTACGGTGCCTCAGTTTTCTTCCTCTTATGAAATATAGCGTGATATAGAGCTGCATTGTCTGTTAAACAAGAAACTGGCCTGAAAAAATTCCTGCAGAGTGAAAAAAGCTAATGAAGGATTTCAGGGTAGTCTTTGCGTCAACAACATCAGCGTGTGGCTGATGAACAATTGACACCCCAGCAAACAGCACTAGGTATGTGATGAGCCTCACCAAACTGTGGCAGGTTGTTGTCACTCCCTGATCTGAATTAATGAGAACACTCATCCAGGACTTTCCCAGTACTGATGCAAGTGGGGCGGTGGGGTAGCCTAGTGGTTAAAGCGTTGGCTCGTCACGCCGAAGACCCGGGTTCGAATCCCCACATGGGTACAATGTGTGCAGCTCATTTCTGGTGTCCCCCGCCGTGATGTTGCTGGAATATTGCTAAAAGCAGCATAAAACCAAACTCACTCACTCACTGACTGATGCAAGTGTTCAGTCCATAAACAGAAGCTTGTTGGATTTAGATAGACAACTTTGATACTTCAACAGGTCAATTTAAGGGATTAGTTACTATAGTCCAGTGAGAACATGATGAATTTCGCTTTAAACACAAAAAAGTAAATTAAATTAAAGTGAAATTAAGAATTTTATTCAACATAGGATAAAAGGTGTTTAACAAACGATCATAGATTCAAATTGCTGTTTGTATTACAAGGGGGTAAGTGCAGAAGTTGGAACAGTGAAACAAATGCTCCATGCGGTACGTGATGAGTGTTAACTTAGACCAACCCTACTTGTCCTCGGTGTTTCATTTAATTAGCATACCCCCTTGTAATACAAACCAATAATAGCGATTTGAAACTAGGATCGTTTGTTAATCAACTTTTGTCCTAAGTTGAAAAAAACTCTGAGATTTAAATGTTCAATTGGCAAGGTAAAATTATGAATTGCACTTTATTCGATTTACTTTTTTTGTTTAAAGTGAATTTCACTGCAAACAGACTATAGTATTGGACATTTTGTGTCCAAAGCATGGCCTTCCTCAAGTACTGGTTCAATATGCATGATATGTCCACACGTCCTGTGAACACTCCAGATACTACCTCAGCTTGCTTTTGCATGTCTTGAGACTAGTCAGGGCGGTGGGGTAGCCTAGTGGTTAAAACTTTCGCTTGTCACACTGAAGACCCGGGTTCGATTCCCCACATGGGTACAATGTGTGAAGCCCATTTCTGGTGCCTCCTGCTGTGATATTGCTGGAATATTGCTAAACGCGGCGTAACACCATACATACTCACTCACTCACTTGAGACTAGTCAGTGTTGGTGATTAATGGTGGGAAACTGCTCATGATATCGGCCACATATTTCTCATGACCAGACCATGATAGAGCTAGAACACTGCAGGATGGCCTATGATAATGCTCACTCTCTCGTTCATGCCCTTATCCATGAAACCGCCATTGCTGAGATGTTTTTTTTTTATGATGAAAATTACATATGTATGAATATTTGAACTATGAAAAATTGTAAAATATGATATATTTGGGATTACATTTTCTCAGTAAAGTACAGATTCTACTATTTTTAAGGTTGAGATCTGTCTAGGATTCGAACCTACACTCTTTTAATATATAATGAGGCCAGACCAATTTTATTTCTTGTTTTACGGATTTTTGTCCTCAGAAAACCTAAAGGCAGGAGGGAAAAAAATAATAAATAAAAATCACTAGTCAAAATAATTTTCCTTTTAAATACTAAATGTATTTTATTTTTGGCAATTTATGAAGTTTATATCGGGCAAAAAGCAATATATTTTTTATTTTTTTGTTGTAAGTTTATATTTTGGCCAATAAAAACATGAGGATTTTATTTTTGGAGCAGGGAAAATTAATTTTTATGTTTTTTTCTTATTCTTGAAAAAAATACGACCGGCGGATCCATAAAACAAGAAATAAAATTTGTCTGGCTTGAGGGAAAAAAATAAGGGATCACATGAAAGCACAAGTGTTCCTTTATTTGTTTCCAGGTTTCTTCGTTCATTATCATGACATAAGATACACGCTTGTGAAAAAACACTTGTGAAGAAACCTGGAAAAAAAAAGGAACACTTGTGCTTTCATGTGATCCCTTTTTTTTTCCCTCAGTATATTTACATTGGACCACTTTCTCCCCAACTGACCCCATCTACTTATGTCCCATTCAATCACATGCTGTTGTTAATGTTAATCTGATGTTTGTCACAACACACTATGTATATATCTCACTATATGTTCTCAATACTAGGTTGTTGTTACTTTCGCTTGCAAAGTGTGTAAGAATCTACACAGAAATGTTGCTCTGTGCAATAAGCAAGGAGTTGTTATCCATAAAGTTGTATGCTTTATCATCACTGGATTGTCTGGTCCACTTTGATTATTCACAGACCGCTGCTATTTAGATTAGGGGTGAAATGGTATACCGTGGTATTAGTAGAACCGTGGTATTTTGCCTTCGGTTTGGTATCCCGTAATGCAGTTAAAAATTCAGTATTTCGGTTTTCGTACCATCATTTTATTCACCTTTTAACAGCTATTCTAAAATGTCTAGAATCATTTTGTCAAAATCTATGCATTTCTATGCTAGACGGCCGCTATTTTCCCATATACCGAACAGAAACGGGCCTAACCGAAGGCCTTGTACCGAAAGACGTACCGTACCATGGTAAGAGTGTACCGTTTCACCCCTAGTTGTTGTGTCAACAAATGTTCATGATTTTAGATACAACTGCAAGGATGAGCACCGATGCTGAGTTTGTAGATGGGGCCACATTTGAAGAAGCCATGAAATCTGTTCGGAGTGATGACACAGGCGACTTGTTTCTGGTGGTCGGACACATACAGGGTGATCCAAACCGGTTGGAACTGGTGACAGTTGGTCAGGAGACGTCACAGTTGGTGGAATACCTTGAGGATGATCGGGTCATGTACGCCCTGGCCAGATACGAGACCAAGTTTGATATGTCTATCACAGTCAAGTTTGTCTACTTCCGGTGGTGAGGATAAACTCTGTCTCATTTTAGACACTCCATTGGTGTGATCACATGACCTTTTTCTGATGATTATTCAACCCAACTTCATAAGATAAGCCATTGGTGTGACAACTTGGCCTTCTCGTTATCGAACCCTCATTTTGATACTCTACCCATGAAGATACATGTTAGAATTGGTCTTCAGCAGCCCATGCTTATCGTAAAAGGCGACTAACTGGATTTGGTGGTCAGGCTCACTGACTTAGCTGACAAATGTCATCGTATCGCAGTTGTGTAGATTGATGCTCATGATTTTGATCACTGGATTGTCTGGTCCAGACTCGATTATTTACAGACTGCCACCATATAGCTGGAATATTGCTGAGTGAGGCGTTAAACAACCAACCAAACCAACCAACCAACGACATCATGGGAGGTATTCATGCTATCAACCATGGTGTGCCTTGCTACTGGAATTTACACCAACAATATTTCTGACAGTCTCAGTTGGTTACAACAGTTACAAGAAGCAATATATATTCTAGGATAGGTGAGCAAGTTCCTGTGACAAAGAAGGGTCGGTTCGGTGTGGTACACGGCAGTGTGGTGGAGCGGTTCAACCCCTACCACAGTATGGTGGAGACCAGTAGTCGGGAGGATATCGAGGACAGCAAGATCTTGCAGAAGGTAAACCTCGGTCTGTGGACGCTTGGTGTTGGGGCACATTCAAACACCTTTGGTCATGGGGCACCTTTGAGTGCCTCAAGAAACTCGGTCTTAGGGCACATTCAACCAAAATCAGGACTTTGGGCTTTAGGTCACTTTCAACTACCTCAGGACTCTGGGCTTTAGGTCATATTCAACTACCTCAGGACACTGGCTTTTGATCACATTCAACCACCTCAGGACACTGGGCTTTAGGTCACATTCAACTACCTCAGGACACTGGCTTTTGGTCACATTCAACCACCTCAGGACAATGGGCTATAGGTCACATTCAACTACCTCAGGACACTGGGCTCTAGGTCACATTTAACCACCTCAGGACACTGGGCTTTAGGTCACATTCAACCACCTCAGGACAATGGGCTTTAGGTCACATTTAACCACCTCAGGACACTGGGCTTTAGGTCACATTCAACCACCTCAGGACACTGGGCTTTAGGTCACATTCAACCACCTCAGGACACTGGGCTTTAGGTCACATTTAACCACCTCAGGACACAAGATCTTGAGGCATGTTTGAGCACCTCGGGACACTAGGTTTCAGTGTGCATTCAAGCACCTTAGGGCCCAAAATGTTAGGGCACATTCATCCTCCTCAGGACTCTGTGTACTGGAGTAGGTTCAGCCACCTGAAGACACTAACGCTAGAGGCACATTCAACCACCTGAAGACACTAACTCTAGGGACAGATTCAACCACCTGAAGACACTAACTCTAGGGGCACATTCAACCACCTGGAGACACTAACTCTAGGGCACATTCAACCACCTGAAAACCCTTACTCTAGGGGCACATTCAACCACCTGGAGACACTAACTCTAGGGGCACATTCAACCACCTGGAGACACTAACTCTAGGGGCACATTCAACCACCCGAAGACACTAACTCTAGGTGCACATTCAACCACCTGAAGACACTAACTCTAGGGGCACATTCAACCACCTGAAGACACTAACTCTAGGGGCACATTCAACCACCTGAAGACACTAACTCTAGGGGCACATTCAAACACTTCAAGGCACAAGATCTTTGGGCATATATTCTGTGTCTCCACTGCGACATTGTAAAACATTCTCCCCATTCCATTTGTCTTCATTGCAACTGTGTCAAACATTCTCCCTATTCCATTTGTGTCTTCATTGGAACTGTGTCAAACATTCTCCTCATTTCATTTGTGTCTTCATTGGAACTGTGTAATGCTGGAAGATAATTGTTTTGTTAAAGTCACTAACCATTGTAATGCATCTCCATGTCAGCTGTGTTAAACTGTGTCTTCTAATGTGCAGCTCAGTAAAACACATCCACTGTTATGTCCCAGCTTGAAGAGACATCAGGAACCAAGTCCAAGGTCATCGAGAGCACGGAGGGAAGACAGGAGAGAGGGTTCACTGCTTCCCAACTCCCAAAACGAGGCCCCACTAACAAGTTCGGGGTGAATGCCATACCAAAGGAAGGGTCTGCAGTGCAAGTCTCTGACTCTGTGTATGAGGACATTGCCGAGGTTCGCAATGATGAGCTACCAGTGAGGTGGATTGTGGCTCAGTACAGAGACTGTAACCCTAAGGGGCCAATAGACAGCTATCAGAAGGGGGAAGGAGGGCTCGATGAACTTAAGGCCTGTCTTGAGCCAGAAAATGCCATGTACGCGTTGTACAGGGTTTCCGATGTCGTCGATGATATTGTCACAGTCAAGTTTGTGTTCATCACATGGTAATTTAATTATTAAATAATTGTTACTTCAGCGTCATATATATTTGATGATTTTTATGTGGTTTTTGAGTGTTTTAAAACAAAATTTGATATTGACAGATTGCCATGATATTGCTGATGGCAACTTGCTGTATATTTCTAATGAAACTATTGTATAACAAACAACGGTTGAAGTGAACTAGATTTAATGCTTCCTTTGAGTTCGTTATAAGCGTAATTTACTGTATGCTGACTTATTGTGCATGTTTTACGCAAATACAGAGCCTATCAGGAGCTTTATGTGAAATTATGATATAGTTCTGTCTACAACATTTACGATCTCACCATGTCAGTTGTCTGGTAGCTATAAATGAGGCTGTGATGACCTGTCTAACTTCAGGGTCGGGACCAAGGTCAAGCCCATGGCAAAGGCGAAGATATCCACCCAAAAGGGCACCGTCCAGCAGGTGTTCGGACAGACCCATGTTGCCTTGTTTGCTACCGACTTGTCAGATATCACAGAGAAAGTTATCATGGATAAGGTGAGATAAGGAAGGCAGGTTGTGGTAGAGTGAGCTTAGTTTTATCCCGCTTTTAGTAATATATATGCAATATCATGGCAGGGGACACCAGAAATGGGCTTCACACATTGTACTCATGTGGGGAATCGAACCTGGGTCTTCGGCGTAATGAGCTAACGCTTTAACTACTAGGCTGTCATGCCACCCCAGGTTCTGGTATAAGTAATGCTGGTTCACTATCCTGTAGTAAGTCAAAGGGCATACCTTATATGGTGGACAAAGTCATACAAGGGAATATAGTTCTTGTCTTTTACTTACAGGTCAGCCCCTGTTTGCCAGATGTTAAATTCTAAAGCCAGTTATCTCCCTTCGACATCTGTTAGCTCCCTTTGAATGAGTTAAATTTTGGTCTGTCCCAAATGCACTGATCGTTTTTTCAAATCTACCATGTATGCTGAGCATATCTATATACAACTTAATAGACATGATAAAAAACCCAAACAAAAAACAGAGTATACCCTATTCATTTCCCAAATATTCTGAATGGTTGCTGTGACAACAGATTTTACTGTAATGTCATCCTTGGCATCAGTCTACCGGCCTAATAAAAACTGTGGAGATAAGGAGACATAAACCGGCAATCTTGGACATCAATGTACAACTTCTAAATGCCACTGAAAGACATAATAAAAACTTATTTTTTGTTTGTTTGCCAAGGTACTAGTTTCTAATTCTAAATAAATCCCTGAGAATCAAGGATGTTATTGATTATGTCGTCAATCTTATTTGTGGACATCATATGTTTTTGGACAACGAGGTTTACCTGTTCAATAACGAGGTGTGTTCCATCACACAGACATTGTAAACACTGTGATGATGTCTCTGTTAAGATAAAGATGTCTTATAAGTTAGTGACATGTTTTACAGATGTTGATGTGATTAGAGATAAAACAACAAATGTTTCTTAAACACCCCAAACCCCAAATACAAGGATGCCTATGTATTTGTTTGCAGGTAACATCAGCATCAGGGACGCGATCCCATGTGAAGTAAACTACACCATCAGTATCGCAACATCACGACTGCCCTCACTGCAGTGCCCCACGCCACAGTCTCTGCTTGACGGTATTACACTTGCAGGAGGACCTCACCACTTTGTTCCCCGTGTATTGTAATATCTTGCTACTGCCTTGATCATTTCAGTTTTCAGTTTGTTAGAGATAAAGGCTATTTATGAAGATAAATGTCTAGTCTCATCATTAGTATATTTAAAGAACATAAATAACAGTGAAACTTGTTAGTCACAGTGTATTGCTGTATCTTGTTAATGTTATTTCCTTGATAATTCTAGTGTTTTCTCTGATAGAGATAAAGGTTATTGATGAAGACAGAATTATAAAAGAGTAAATGCTAGAATGATCACATGCTTGTTGTGAAAGGCAACTCTCTGGATGCTCTGGCTCACAGAATCAGTATGTTGTTGTATCCCAAACTTGTAGATAGATGCTTATATTGTCAATCACTGGATTGTCTGGCCCAGACTTAATTGTTTACAGAGTGTTATCAAAAAGCTGTTGAAGTGCAGCTATATATAAACAAGCAAAAGAAACCCAACCAAACAGGATTGGTCTGGTTGTTTGGGTTTCCAGACTTCAGTGTTTCCTCAGTACACAGCAATAGGACAGAACTTTCAGCTGAAGGAAGTCAAATTGCAACTTCACAGATTTAAGATGTCCTTCACCTTTACACAACCAATTTTGTTGTCATAAATGTTCATTTAAATTTCAACAAATCTTATTATGTCATAAGCCTGTAATATTACATCTAACGAAATCATTCTTCCCATAATGTTACAGACTCACATTCATGATAATTACATTGCAGCTCAACAAGACATGAAACTTTTTATGAAAAATTACTTCAGAGAAGTTCCATGTCTTTAGTATTTTCAAGTTCTTCCAACTTCTAAAATGCCTATCAGAGACTTGATTACATTTTGAACTCTATTTTTCTGAAAGATTACATTTTCATCTTTTTATATACACAGCTAGCCATAGAACTTTGTGAGAAGTATGTTGCTACGTAGATGATAATCTTCATCTTGCACATCTCACAAGTAACTGTGAGGAAAACATCATACATTATGCACAGTAGTTGTTGAAGAACATTAAAAATGTCTTTTGTGTATGTCTTAGATATATGTTATTTTTTAAGAACACTGTGAAGAAGATTTGATAAATGACGTACAGTTTTCATTTGGGAACAATTATGTTGTTTTGTGTGTGTGAGGAAAATAGTATTCTTTCTGATTGGTATTTCTACTTCCATTATAATGGATCAAAATCTGAATTTGTACGTTTATTGTTGCTAATTATGAAGTGCTTCATTGCCTTGCCTTTAAGAAAGAATTCTTGCCTGATTTTCCTTGTTACCATATTTGTTTGCATGTGTATGATAGCTCTTTAACTATAATGTATCATTGATAGATCCAACTTGGTCCAAACTTTACAATAAATATTAATTTATTAGTAATTATGGTTTTACAATTTGTGTTGAATCTTGTATTATAGGCAGCAATGGACATTATCATGTGTCTTTTTCTAATAGAATAATCAAAATATATCAATTATTTAGATATGTTTTACTTCCTTCAAAACTACCAATAACTCCATTGAGAGACCTGTGATAGGAAGAGCTGGAAACAGAATCTATACTTATACAATAACTGATGTATTGGTATCTTATGGTCTTAATGAAATTATGTATTAGATTAGTTTTGAGATGATCTGAACATACCAAATAGACCAGGTGAACATTTAACAGAGGTTTAGTGATGGACAGAAGCTATGGCTTGTTCAGTTTGATTGTGTCATTGCTGTTAAATATTTCTTAAGGTAGAGACTACAAATATGGAGTTGGATGTTTAACGCTTCAATTAATAATACATTGTATGAACCTACTGCATAGTTTTCTTAATTCTGTGCAGCCCTATAATGACCACAGCCCTGTTTATATCTGTTAAGTTAGGTAGGGCTAATGATGATCAGACATTATATTGCTGACTTGGCACAATGATCAGAACACCAACAGGTTATTGCATGTCATTCTTGGATAGTGCATGTATACATCAGGGAGAGGCCATGATCTGTAGTGTTAATAAGGGCTTTGCAGACTATTGACTGTATGAAACTCCCAAAAATTTCAGCCAGACAGGGCTGGTTAGATGTAAAACTTAGACTGCCAGATTCTCAAATTCCCCTACCCGACAGTGGTTAAAATTTAGACACGTATATGAAGATATCTTGTGGGCAGGTAAGTTTTGGTCAGGGCTGATAAGTTTTGGTCAGGGCTGATGTGTTGAAAATAAATCGTCCTGCAGGGTCGGGCAGGTATTTTGAACGCTGCTTTAGTAACCTGTTTTATGACTTGGTGTCAGGATGTTTGTTGTCAATATCTTGGTTAGAGTCCAAGAAAAGACATTTTCAGTTCTTCAGAAAGTTATCTGAATATCTTACCATGTGAAAAGCACTTGTTTAAAAAGTCTCAGTTAAACTGATTTCATGAACAATGGTTTTGTTATGGACATGGAAGAATGAATGAAGAAATATTGATTATTATCATTGTGGTCATAATGTGTTGGTGACAATACTTTAATGACCATATTCTGTGAGTCTGTTGTATGTATTTAGGTTATTTAAGTGCTGCATACCAAAATATACACTGTGTTAGTACCGGTAAATTTCTCTGTATGAATGCTTGTAGAACAGATGTATGTTATTACCGGTAAATATCTCCGTATCAACACTTATAGGATAGGTCAATGTTATTACCAGTAAATATCTCCGTATCAGCACTTATAGGATAGGTCAATGTTATTCGTAAATATACACTTATAGGATAGGTCAATGTTATTACTGGTAAATATCTCCGTATCAACACTTATAGGATAGGTCAATGTTATTACTGGTAAATATCTCCATATCAACACTTATAGGATAGGTCAATGTTATTACTGGTAAATATCTCCGTATCAACACTTATAGGATAGGTCAATGTTATTACTGGTAAATATCTCCATATCAACACTTATAGGATATCAACACTTATAGGATAGGTCAATGTTATTACTGTAAATATCAACACTTAAAGGATAGGTATGTTATTGTAAATAGGATCAACACTTATAGGATAGGTCAATGTTATTACTGTAAATATCCCTTTATGTTTGTAGGACAGATCTGCCTAGTTTAATTGTTTCTGTGTATTTGGATATATATTCTGTTTTATGAAAGTTATGATATATTTTCATGTTTTCTTATATGTTTCCTTTGGATCAAGATTGCTTGAATATTGATTTGAATTTGTCATAATTGATATTAATGAATGTTTGATGCATTTCCGCTTATGCTGCACTGCCTTCTGTGTTGCCTAATGAACACTTGGTCAAACTGGCCACAATAAAATCAAATACTCAACTGAAGAAACACCTCCATTGGTTTAATTTGTTCCAATTTTTGGTTCTAAGTTTATAATAAATACAAGAACTAACTTAGCCTGTGGTGAAAGTGCATTTCTACATGTTAGTCAGGCTTATTATCTAGAAGAGATATTTTACCATATTTCAGAAATAAATCAAATCCATTTAAAAACAATTCTGTGAGTATTTTTTTGCATAAAATAGTGTAAATGGAAATAATCTGTGGTGACTGTTATGACAGGTGATCATGATGATAATGTGATTGTGTTTAGCACCTTTTGTATATTCTGTAAAGTGACTGAAAATATTGTTTCACTCCAAAACCTTTTCCATATTTGTTATACCCTTTTCCTATTGCCTCAACAAATGATAAGCAAAGAGTTCACCTTGTTCTGTAATACCTGTAAGAAAAAGCCAGTTATTCTATACTAATCAAAATAAGTTAAGGAACTTTAGTCATCTGAGGTGCTGCACTTCCCTGAGTGAGTTACATAACTTGGGTATACCAGAACCCGGTGATTCTGGGTTCGAATCCTGGCTCATGCCGATTATGTTTCTAGTTCTGTCAGCACCATGCCATACTAGTGGGATTCACCAAAGTCGGAAGTGAGACCTGCGTCTCTCGGGCTTCCCTCCCACAGCCAGCTGACACACTGTGATATAACTCGTATACTGTTCGAAGTGGCATTAAACCCAACACACTCACTCACTCATGTCTTTTTATGAATCAAGGTATCATTAGAATATGCAGCTGTATTGGATCAAATAGTGGTATATTGTATCAACAATCTGCCTTTGTAGCATGTCTTGTTTATTAGTCTGTTTTGTTGCTTCTATGTATTTTTGTCTGTTGATATATTGTTATTTTTTGTAAAGTCATTTTGATGGTGGACCAATATATACACGAAGTATATTTTTCTTATTTCATAATCGTATGAATGTCATGCTTTTGCATAATTTGCTTTGACTTGCTTCTTGAGGACTATAGCCTAATGTATTCATTCTGCCTGTATATGGTTTTGTTTATTTGTATTACTCAAAAGAATTGAGGAAACACTTGATTATTTTGTGTTACAATAGGTAATTGGTCATGCTGAATCTCTCATATTTCTACATGAAAGACTGACTGACTGAGTTTGGTTTTAAGCCGCTTTTAGCAATATTCCAGCAACATCACGGCGGGGGACACCAGAAATGGGCTTCACACATTGTACCCATGTAGTATTCGAACCCGGGTCTTCGGCGTGATGAGCCAACGCTTTAACCATTAGGCTACCCCACCGCCCCTCTACATGAAAGAATCAGCATTACTAGTTAATAGTCTGGCTATCGATATAGGTCATAGAGGTCAATAAGCATTAAATATATATCGAACGATTATAGATAAAATAGTAAGTAACTATTTAAATATTGATCAATTATCCATAAATAAGTAACTTTGAGCAAAAATGCCTAATACTGTCTGAAAGAAACAAATATATTTCACACCACTGGCGAGTGGTGACAAGTTTTGCATGGGTTACTGACTAAACAGCCTCCTGAACATAATTTAGAAGCAGCCCTGTGATTAAACACCTAAGTTTGCATTTTGTTTGATTAAGTTAAAACTTTTCTATACCACAAAAGTAAATATACGTTAATATCGATGACACTATTTCCATATCAATAATCATTAATAATTTTTCCTATCGACGATATTTCCGATTATTGATCTTTTTGTGCCCACCCTACCAGTTAACTATGGTAAAAAGTTACTACAGGGGGCTCCCTAACTTCTCCATGTACTGTATTTTCTTGAGTATATTACACACTCTGGCACAATGCACAACCACCTGTAGGGGATTCAGTCTTCTGTCTCTTCAGTATTGACAATCTTTGTCAGCTAAAGTTTGTTTAGGGGTGGTGGGTTAGCATAATGGTTAAAGCGTTCGCTCGTCATGCTGAAGACCCAGGTTCGATTCCTCACATGGGTGCAATGTGTGATGCCCATTTCTGGTATCCCCTGCTGTGATGTTGCTGGAATATTGCTAAAGGTGGCGTAAACCATAACTCACTAAAGTTGTTGATAGTTATCAATAGTGGTATCTGACAATGGTTGCTGTAAATAATGGTGAGATGGCGCACTGATGATAACTTCACAAATGTTTCACAGAATTTAGTGTAATGAATATTTAGTGACATTTTTAGTATGATGAATAAAATAGATTGTAGCCATAAGCCCAGATGTACTTTGAATACTTTAATCACATGATTAAATTGTGTATTTAATTTTGGATTTTTTGACCTGGTATTTTTGTTGTTTACAAGCTCATGGCTATACATATACATTGGGGGAAAAACATCAAACCCCATTATTGCAGGTATTATGCGCACTCACATTGATACAGCTGTGTTTCATAAAAAATGAGTGTGCAGTAAACTCAAGAAAATATATACAGTACACACATATGTAGTATAGCAGAACAAAGCTTTTAAGTATACTGTCATTTTATATATTGGCTGATAAAAAGTAGTTACTGCTTGTGATCAAACTTAAATTTAAAGATGGTAGCTAGGTGTAGGAAGGTAGCTTTTGTTCTATGCATATAAAACGACCCTACCCCAATGCAGGCAAACTAATGTAGACAGTTCTTGATATATGTTTTCCCTACAAAAGAAGTTAAGGAGCACTGATTTTTCATACGATATTTCAGTGACAGATCAGCCTTAGTTAACTAAACAAAACCAGTGGATAATGATTCCCCTTGTTATGTCTCGGTGAGCAATAATGAAAAATATCAGTAGCTTAAATAAAGGTTGCTCTACAAAAAAACACACATCTCTTTTCAATGGCAGATGGAAGATGCAAATGTGGTGCTTATATGGGTAACCATGGCAACATGAATTTTGTTAATATTTTACCCCCACTCAAAAATTGAAATGGGAAAGAATTTGTATTTCTTTGTGTATAAACGAGTAAATATATCTATTTGTTTCAAACCAAACCTTGTGAAAGGATAACAATATTTGACTTAATTGTTCCATTTTGTACTGAAGGTGTTTACTCGGATATCCTAGAATATTATTCCTATTAAGCTATATTCGTAATGTTATCGGGGCGATGGGGTAGCCTAGTGGTTAAAGCGTTCACTCGTCATGCCGAGACCCGGGTTCGATTCCCCACATGGGTTCCACGTGTGAAACCCATTTCTGATGTCCCATGCCGTGATGTTGCTGGAATATTGCTAAAGTGGCGTAAAACCATACTCACTCACTCACTCGTAATGTTATTAACTCCTGTTGAAGTGTACACTCATGTCTGTTTGTCAATATCAACAGAGCTATTCCAGCAATAATGAAACCATTTTCATCTCATTCCAGATAATTTAGAAATATTTCCTGTGATTGTTATACGCATAAATTATTTCCGAACTGGTGATTATTTCTCAAGTATTTTCCTTTGTGGAAGTAAATTAAAGACTTTAGAATTAAGGAGGCTAGGAGGAGTTATTTCCCCTTATATAACTTGATTGTCCCATTTAGGCACAACCCAACAAAGAATTGGAATGAGATTTTCAGGGTTAATTTTTGAATGAATCTACAATTATTCTAACACAGAGAGGTCATTTCAATGAATAGGTGCAGTGCCTTTGTCAGTCTGTATACATAGTTTTGTGAAAACACTCCAGTTGATGAAAGATATTCTAAATATGGTATTGATATATGTCTGTTATGTGATATTTTCAAAAGGTGCAGAAAAACACCACTGTGACTGTTTTATATTGGATTTTATATGCTATTCTGGTAAACAATAAAGATTGGTATATATGGATTTAAGTGTGGCTTTCATGAATCTTTTCACAAACGGGGGTGTAGCCTAGTGGTGAAGCGTTCACTTGTCACACAGAAGACCCACATGGGTACATTCTGGTGCTCCCCCACTGTCATATTGCTGGAGGGGCAGTGGGGTAGCCTAGTGGTTAAAGCGTTCACTTGTCACACAGAAGACCCACATGGGTACATTCTGGTGTTCCCTCACCCTCATATTGCTGGAATATTGTTAAAAGCAGCGTAAAACTAGAATCCCTCGCAAACTAATTTCCTTCCCTTGCAAGAGCCAGGATCACATGGGAATTGGGTGCACCATCTTCTTGGATGTTGCAGTTGGCTATCTAGATTTGTGTCCCTTAGGAGCAATAAAATCTGCTGACTCTGGGTTCGAACCTAGCAATTTTCCTGCTCATTCCTGGTTGATCTTCACCATGCCTGATCATGTCATTCACCAAAGCTGTAGAGGCGCACAACCACTGTCATTGGGCTTTCTTTACCACATTAAGTTGAGGAGCTGTGATGTATACTCATACAAAAAATAAATGCACAAATATGCATACTGATGATATGCATAAACATAAGTGATATAGTGAACAAATTACCCCTCTCTCTTCGATCAGTAGAGACATTCAGTACTTTCAAATCCAGATTAAAAACTCATTTGTTCAGCATTGCATACGGAGTTCACCAGAGCTCTTGAGCAGTCTTCTGAAGACTGGATATTAGCGCTATATAAATGTATAAAAATGTAAATGTAAGAAGGGTCTGTGGGGTAGACCAGTGGTTAAAGCGTTTGCTCGTCACGCCGGGTTCGATTCCCCACATGGGTACAATGTGTGAAGCCCATTTCTGGTGTCCCCTGCCGTGATGTTGCTGGAATATTGCTAAAAGCGGCGTAAAACCATACTCACTCACTCACCCCAGAGAAAGAAACCTTTTACAACAGGAACGTGTGTTCATTTATATTTTCGGTCAGTATGTTCAGGATACAATTATGAACTCCGAGGCTGCCAGGACAAACTGGGAATATTTTCGATTTCGATAAACAAATAGTTACAAATATATTTTATCCTTTTTTCTGGATCACACCGCACCTCTGCAAGTGTGATTAGGCTGCTTCCCTATAGCTCTGGTTGTGTTGTCTCGCCCGACCAGCTTATGGAGCACGTTCAGTTTATGTCTAATGCGCACATAAAATCATTCTATATTTAAGTAATATGTGCCTACCCATGGAATGTACTATTGTTTCAGTACGACTCACTCTGTCGGGAGATTAAGTGTTCTTATCTTGGTCTTTGTTTTATACGTGAAATACCGCTGATGTATTCAGATAACCTTTCTACACGGATATTTAATCCGAATATGTCTCCAGCTATTTATGCGACTTAATAGTTAATACAAAAACTTGAAGGGTATTAATAAGTTCATATCAATAGTTTTTTTCGTATAAATCCACGTAGAATATTGCTGTTAATGTAGCTTACATCCATGATAGCACCCAAAAAAAAAACTTAATCAAGCCAGCGCACCTGTCAAAAGCTAACTGTGTGAGAGTGTTTAGTTTTACGCCGCTTTTAGCAATATTCCAGCAATATCACGACGGGGGACACCAGAAATGGGCTTCACAGAATGTGGGAAATCGAACCCGTGTCTTCGGCGTGACGAGCGAACGCTTTAACCACTATGCTACCCAACCGCCCTTAACTGTGTGTGAACAATAATAATTTGTTTATTTAGACATTCAAACGGTTACCATAAACATGTATCATCGGAAGAAAAAACAAACTATTGCATTGTACGTTCAGGCAGTGTGTGGAACAGAAAAGTAATCCAACCGACTCCTTCGCCTGGATGAAGTCGGCTGGTCTTGAAACTGCTCAGGACTCGTCACTCCCACTCGCAAACGCCTAAATGTGACTCTTAAACAAAATATCAATATGAAATGTCGACTTTGCAATGAATTTACAGAGACTGTCCAACACCTTGTCAGTGGATACCTTTTCTAGGCACAAACAGCATATCTTAAAAGACATGATGGCATGGCTCGCTGCTTCCACTATCGTCTTCGCCATGCCTGTGGCTTTGCCACCGAGGTGCATCCATGGTACGACCCCGAACATGTCCAGGGCGTCATGGAAAATCATGCTTTTAAACTTCTTTGGAATAGGCCCATATGCAGCCTCAGAAGAATTCCAGCCAACAAACCTGATCTTGTCCTTTTTGATAAAGCCAATGAATGCCTTTATATCATTGAATTTTCTGTCGCTTTGACAGCAACGTGATTGGCAAGATTCAGAATCATGCTATATGTGCGGATCTCGCCTTTGCATCCCAAGGACACTGTCGTCAGGCTCCCCATTGGTTTCCTTGGTTTGGTACCTTGGCGCAGTTCAGGAGAGTGCCTGGGTTCTCCACCGGGAGCACAACCCTTCTGACAATCTGGGTAATGCAGAAGGCTGCAAGGTCGGGGAGTCTACATGTTCCCCGGAAAGTTCTTGGTGGGTTCGACTAAGCAGTGTTTCCTGGGAGAACTCCCATTCGCTGTCTGGGCTGCGTATAGAGGGGCCAAGGGCCCTGAGCTGATGATGAGCCTGATTGTGCAAGGATCACCGAACCCTCTGTGCTGCATAATATATTTTACTCTGTAAAACATAATTATAATAAAAAAATAAACTTAAGAAAAACACCCGAATAAAGCACCAAAAAAAACCCAAACAAAAAACAGAACTTCGAAACCAATATGAACATTGGAGTTGAACCATACAGATATTTTGTTCCTCTTGTTAAGGCCCATGCTCAAATGGCTCCACATGTACAAATAGATTCTTAACCTATACACAAAGAACTTAGTTAAGCACCCCCTGACATATCTCACGATTGAATGAGCCCCGATCTGAACCCTTTGGAGCATATCTGGGACTGATTGGTCGTCATGTGCAACAAAGGGACCCCCTGTACAGAACCTGGCCCAATTGGAAGCTGCGAGTAATGGCGTTGACTGCCCCTTCAGAGGATCAGGAGGCTGACAGGGGGTATGAGGAGGACAGTTCTGGCTGTCATATAGTCAGGTTACACAAGGTATAGACCTTTAATCATGTAAAACACGCAAAATGACATTGTGAATGTTCACATTCACCAATAAATTCAAGATTAAACATTTCAGGGCCATACTAGGACAGACATGGTTTTGTATGAAAATCGGTGTTTTTTTAAATGAGCAATTATCATAATAAAATCAACATGGATTCCAATCATATTGTCGTTTTTATGAGTCAATGGATCATACAGGTCAAGAAAACACATCGTGGTCTCCACGTGAAGTTTTATGTACCTATCATTGCAAAAATACAGTGGTGCTTTATTATGTTCTTTGTGTATATGGGGCGGTGGGGTAGCCTAGTGGTTAAAGCGTTGGCTCGTCACGCCGAAGACCCGGGTTCGAATCCCCACATGGGTACTATGTGTGAAGCCCATTTCTGGTGTCCCCCGCTGTGATGTTGCTGGAATATTGCTAAAAGCGGCGTAAAACCAAACTCAGTCAGTCAGTCAGTCTTTGTGTATATAATGAAGGTCAACTGACGAGAGAGTCACTGCCTTACCCCTTCCCTGATAACTGACATATATACAATACAGCCATGCAGCACGCCATGTTATCACTCTCGGAGCATTTTCATTTGGTTGTTACACGTAGATTATATCCCGATATCCTATCAAAGTGTGGATCCTCCGATACCCTGTTTCAGAGTTGCCACAAATCATGTGCAGACGGTACAAACGTGGACAGCACATTCTCCCGATACAGCGACACTACACGCTAAGACAAATATGTCAAGGTCACTAGCTTGATATTGTCATTTCAAGAAGTCCGTAATGACAGACTATCTGCATCTTGGTTGAGAAATTGAAATGCTACAATTTTAAATTATATCTCATCTAACACAGACAACGTTGCTTTCGGCATTGCCATTAACATCTTTCTGCAAAATTACTGGAAACAGTGGTATAAATAAATCTGAAACAAGAACTAGATTGTGGACACGGTCTACATACTAAATGTGGAATGTTTGTATATAGATGCTAATTGTGCGTTATGTGATAGGATAACTGATAAATAATGGTCAGATTATCCACAGGTTGATACGCCATTGGACGTCCGGGCGGTATCACACGTCATTCACCCCATATGGCTAGAGATAGTGCCCGACCTTGCCTGTATAACATCCAGCGATTATTGGGCCTCTTGGATGCTGGTGATTCAAGATGTTCACCAAGGCCTGGGTGTGTGGATTTGTGTCGTTGTACCTCTGTATCAGTAAGTGGCTCGTTTGTTCTGGGTTGATCACAATGGTTGATAATAACAAAACCTTTTTGCCCATCAAAGTAAAAAATCTAATAACCCAATAAAACTATACAACTTAAACAGCTGATGAAGTTTTTGCCTCTTGACGGTCACCTAGGTCTGATGAAGGATATTTGTAATCCGCCAATTTCCCCAACGCATTGTTCTTATTAGATATAAAGCTGGGTTTGATATATGCTGTCCATGGCTTGTCATGTGGTTTTCATTGTCAGTGATGTAGTTTGAAAAAATGCCGATTTGATGAAGATTTGGTTTGTTGTTTTACGCCGCACACAGCAATATTCCAGCTATATGACGGCGGTCTGTAAGTAATCGAGTCTGGACCAGACAATTCAGTGAGCATCAATCTACGCAACTGGGATACGATGACATGTGTCAAACAAGTCAGTGAGCCTGACCACCCGATCCCGTTAGTCACATCTTACAAGCATGGGTTAGTGAAGACAAATTCTAACCCGGATAGTCACGGGTCGATCTGATAAAGGTACGGAGTAGGTTGAGTGTATTTACATGTACAAATGATCATCATAAAACAATGCATGCAGCTTGGTTTGGAGGAGACTGTCAAGAGATGTTATGCCAAAAAACATTTGTAGGTAACACGTATAACATCCAATAACATACTGGATGACGATATGAAACAAATATCACGCTCTTTATATCCTATATCACATGGGGCATGATGAAAGGTCACGATACGATACGTACTGCGATACATAATTTTTGCGCCTTTTCATAGCATTATGGTTGGGTCTGAGTTCATACTTTGTGTCTTAAGACGCGCTCGCTGATTAGTCCATCAAAATAGTTACAGCCAATATGTAATTTTCAAATTATGTTAGTTTCAAACCTATATTTTAAGTAAAGCTAGCTACATTTATTCACTAATAAATCGGAGGGTCTTCGTTTTATATAATTTCAATGTATCAAGACTTAAGTCATGTTTGGCTCGAGATGGATATAACTAGTTCAAGTTGAAATTTGAATCGATGTAAGTTTTAAAATAGGAATCGATACATCTTGCAAGCGTTTTATGTATCGCAGTTATCGGTATCGTCAAAGGAGGAAAATATATCGCTGCCTCGTAATATAGACAATCGTCATTATCTGCGGCGATCATGTTACAAAACACATTTGTAGGTATAAATGGTATTGATTAACATTTAATCATTTGAGACATACTATTTGACGATATGATATCAAAATATTGGTCGGCTCTTTATACCTATATCACATGGGGCATGATATTCGGATATATTATCACCGCCTTCAGTCGTAACTGGAGGTTATTTGTTACTCTCTACTTTGGTTTCATTTCGGCATTCGCGTGATACAAACGGAATGGTTTTTGGGTCTGAGTTGATATACTTTGTGTCTTAAGAAGGGTATCTTATATATGTCTGTTTGCAATTTTGCCTGTTTGCAAGTCCCCTAAAATCCTATTATATGTAAATGGATACAGATATATGTCATCAGAGTGAAATAAGTATTGTTTGTTTTAACCCAATATTGATTATCAGTCGTTTTTTCCGTATGTTGTTTGTAACCTATCCTCGAACTACGTGACGTAAACTCCACCAGCTAATGTGGTCCCAGCATTTCCAGACCTTACACCTTATGGAAATAGACGAGATGTAATCTGTATGTATATGATAAAGAGGTTGATGTTAGTCAAATGAAGTCTCGACCCCTGTGACACGTTATGACCGCTATGTATTGTTGTAACAAGTCCATTATCAGTCAACGGTACCCATATCTGACAACACTAGGGTCAAGGTCAGGCCCCACACTGAAGCAAATGAATCACTCTGGTGAATGTTGCTCGAATATTGGAGAATATTGCTCGAATCTCTTCTCTCTCTCTCTCTCTCTCTCTCTCTCTCTCTCTCTCTCTCTCTCTCTCTCTCTCTCTCTCTCTCTCTCTCTCTCTCTCTCTCTCTCTCTCTCTCTCTCTCTCTCTCTCCCGCAAAGAACCTTGAGGGTCATTCCCTGAAGACTGGGGAGCCTCGCCAACCCCGACCCACACAAAACTAACACATTCAAAGAAATACATGCATCCATCTTTGTGAAGAGAGAATTCAGTCCAAAACAAACATCACTGTATTTCATTTCAGCAGTCACACCATGCACAGAGGGAAAGCAGGACTTTGCCGTCAACGTCAACACCGACGGCAGCTACAACGTCGTTGTCCAGGGAGACGTCTGGCTGAAGAGCGCTCCAATCTTCTTCAGATCTGAAGGTGAGGTCTTCACCACGGCTGATGGATCTCTGAAGCTGGTCAAGAACACTCAGTCCAGTGGTGTGGACTTCATTGGTCAGTGGCAGTCCAACAGCTTCTTGTACCAGGCAGGGACCAGTCAGATCGAGGCCAGTTTTGTACAGTACACCCCGGATACAAGCATCTTCACCTACAACAATCCTGCCATACCATTCATGCTGTTCAAACAGGTAAAATCCGTAGCCACAGAGATTAAATATAGTTTAGATGCGACCTATATATACACATGAAAAAGTATCATCACAGCGTGGAATTTAAACTCCATATAGCCTTTTATATTCATGTCCTAATTATGCTTGTTTGTATAATTATTTTGACCCTTCAGGCACACCATACATTGGTTGTAGACATGCCCGTGCAACGACCAAAGGCGAGCATCACGTGCAATACATGTATCCGTCATTACGCAAATTTCAGTAAACTGTTCTTTCAGCTCGATAACTTAGAAAATCATTTGACTAAATGAGGAAATATAGGGCCTTTCAACTGACAGCTGCTCATACATGGCAGGTTATTGGTAAGCGGAATGCTCGCATGTCACTGAGAGCTATTGCAAGAGCTGTTGGCTGTCATCCATCTACTATCAGCCGATTGGCCAGAAGGACACCAGCCAACTAATGATGCTAAGAACCCTAAGCGTCAGGTCCACTTCGAGTGGCAACTCCTAGAGAGGATACAGTCCTTCTAAGTATTATAAGACTTTATCCGTTCATGTCAAGTGGGGTGTTAAAAACAAAGTGAGATCGGGTGGTCAGGCTCGCTACCTTGGTTGACATATGTCATCGTATCCCAAGGGCGTAGATCGATTCTCACGCTGTTGATCACCGGATTGTCTGGCCCAGACTCGATTATGTACAGACCACCGTCCTATAGCTGGAATATTGCTGAGTGCGGCGTAAACTCACTCACTTCAGCAGAACAGTTCGAAATTGCTTGAAATCGGCCAGTTATAGTCAGACGACCAATCAGACGTCCGTTGTTATCCCAGAACACTATGTTGGTGTTAACGATGGATGGAATCGGCCAGTTATAGTCAGACGTCCAATTAAACGTCCGTTGTTATCCCAGAACACTATGTTGGTGTTAACGATGGATGGAATCGGCCAGTTATAGTCAGACGACCAATCAGACGTCCGTTGTTATCCCAGAACACTATGTTGGTGTTAACGATGGATGGAATCGGCCAGTTATAGTCAGACGTCCAATTAAACGTCCGTTGTTATCCCAGAACACTATGTTGGTGTTAACGATGGATGTCACTGGAATGAGACGTCATGTGGGAGGGTCTTCGTGGCTGATGTTTGGCGCCGCTGAAACACTGCATATGCACAATCTAATATCTTGGTGCAAGAACCTTTTGGCATGAGTTCATTGTTGTAATGACCTTGTGACCATCAGACAAAATCTAAATAGACAACGGTACCCAGGGAGGGTTGTTGTGCCACACTTTGATGACCATCCTCTCAACACAAGGCCAGTCTTAATGGACGACAATGCTAGGCCCCACGTACCGTGCCGTTGGTGATTTCTTACATCAAGAGGCGACAGCAACTCCACCTTGGCCCGCCATGAGTCAAGATCTTAATCCCATAGAGCATGTTTGGGACATTACTGATCGCAAAATAGTCCAGAGAGACCCTGCAGTACAAAATCTTGATGCTTTGGAACAAGCCCTCCATCAAGAATGGAACGCAACGCCTCAACGCCAATTTAACGTCTGATACAGTGAGGAGGAGGGTCAGGGACGTTATTGCAGTTGGCGGAGGTTACACCAGATATTGACTCTGTGCTCGGTGACTGATATAGATGTGATCCCTTGACGACTGTATGCCAGAATCTTGAGAAGATGACAGCAATTGTTATCATCACCACAAAATGAGTCAATATTTTTTATAAACTACATTTTTTTGTTCATTTTTAGTTAAATTTGCCTTTTAATTATTCTTTGAGGGTCAATGTAATAACAGATGTTTGCATAAGTTCCTTTGCCATGGTTAATACTATGACGTGAGGTGAGGTGAAATTGGGGTTAACGTCGTGCTCATTTTTCGCTCATATGACGACGTGCATGCGTGTGTATGTGTATGTGCGGCTGCTTGTACTAGCCCAGACTTAGGCTGGTTTTATAGTGCTAGCCCACTGAGATACCATGCCGCAGTGAAGCATGAATACCCCACTCAGACACATTATACTGACTCCGAGCCGACCAGTCCTTGTTGTACCCATTAATGCCGAACGCCAGACAGGGACCAACAAGTACCATATTTTAACGTCTTTTGGTATGACGCGATCGGGGATCGAACCCGCGACCTTCCGCTCTCTGGGCGGACGCTCTAACCACTATACCACGGAGGCGGTCGTTAATACTATGAAAAATGTAGGATGTTGCTATATGTTTTTCGTTTTCGATGTGTTTCTATATATAAATAGAATAAAATATCGCAACATCCTATATTCTCTACCTTACAAGGGTATGAGTGACTCAGACGTCTGAGGCTCACAGTTCCGCCAGGTACCCATGATCGTTGATTCTGTCTCTCTGTCACACGCACGCACGCACGCACGCACGCACGCACGCACGCACGCACGCACGCACTCGTGCTCTTGTGTTTCTCAAGAGTGGTTTACGTCAAAGAACTGCATCAATTTCGAGCCTTCATCACACATTGACTGTAAACATGAAATATATTTATGCATCATTTAATACAAACTATTCAATCATCATCATCATCATCATCATCATCATCATCATCATCATCTACACTAATGTTTTCATCAACATCTTCAACAACAGCGTTTCATCAACGGAGCTAACAACACCGCCACCAACGGTAACTACACCATATCTGGCTTTCCTGGATTCCAAATACAAGAGGCTACTCTACCTTTGGGCTACCTTAGTTATAGCGGCCAAATGTTTGGACATCGAGAACTACGTCTTGGGCAGTAAGCGTCTGAAAAAAGTCATTCTCATTTCGAATTTTCAAATTTTACTTGAAATATTACAAATACCTTCAGGGCATCCGATATATTTATGATAAAATCCTAAAAACTGAAAAAAGATAATTATTAAGATTATATTTAACACATTTTCCATTGCAATCGTGACGTGACCTTTCGCAGTTGTGGGACATGGCGTCATTCTGGAATGCCATGATACAATAGAGGGCGCCACAGGATTCAGCATCGCACCCCGTTTTAACCAATTATTCATTTCACAATTACAGATGGGGGCCGTCATCATTTACGATCGTCGATGGACTCAAAGGGGTCCCCTGGCACTATTTGATCGCGTGAAGACTGCAAATACCCTGATTATCTCCCCTGCCAGTCAGTTTATGTCGTCATCAATATGGCGTCAGAACGCAAGTACGGGCGGTGACAACGTCTACTGGGGGACGATGGGTGGAGTGGAGAATGTTCCTGCAGATGTAGAAAACAGTTTTATTCTTTTCTGTGGCAACCAAGGCATTAACAAGGTACATAAACTTCCGAATGCTCAATCTTTTATACTGTGGGATGGGTCGTAACCACAGTTTCCGATCGCAGGAATGTAGGAATACACGCTTTTCCAGTTTATGCAACAAATTACCTGAGTTTAGAAACAACAAATTTATTTACACTGTGAATATTTAAGGGGTGTGCCCCTAAATGTTTAAGAAGTTCGCCAGTGTCATCTCTTTAATGCTGTTCCGTGAAATTAAGGCCACTCTCCGGCCACACGACCTGAAGGAAAATCGTGATTCTGTGATCTTGAGGGAGTGAGTGTAGTTTTGTGCCGTTTTGAGCAATATTCCAACAATATCAAGGCGGGGGTCACCAGAAATGTACACATGTTGGGAATCGAACCCGGGTCTTCAGCGGGACGAGCGAATGTTTTAACCATTGGGCTACACCAGCGGCCCATTACATTTAAGAAAATAGTACAAATGTAGTTTTTCATTGATATTCATTGATATAAAAGCATATTAAGAAATGTCTAGAATATTTATGAAATTTGAGTGTTTTATTTTCTATCACAAGGAGTATCACAAACTACTTGCAGGCCTTCGTTAGCTGGGGTCAGATTTTACAAACATGGTACGGACGTACGGACCGATATGTCAAGTCGGACTTTACAATCAACTACTTGGGGTACTGGACCGACGATGGTGAGAATATATAAACAAATAAACATCATTCTTCAAATTTTCATCTTCAACTATTATTGAGACGGCTGTCTTTATGACTTTTTAAAGGGAATTCCGTAAAATCATCTCTCACAAACATCACCAGAAATGGGCTTCACACATTGTACCCATGTGGGGAATCGAACCTGTCAAGCGAACGCTTTAATCACTAAGCTACCCCACCGTCCCGTCGGTGTTTAGAATGCGAGATCTCTGTGATTGTATGTCATCTGGTGGTGTGGACAGTGTTCATGCTATCAGCTATTAGTCTGTCTCACCAAAACCTGTTTATAGATAAAGGGATAGAAAACAACCCTGACGCATTCCATTTTCAATTTATTTTTCCATGCACAAAAACTGCTGTTTGTGCAGGTGCATACTACTTTAACATACCTGAGAAGGGGAAGAACTACCAGGACACGATACTGGACATCAACAACTACATTAAACAGTTGGGGGTACCCGTCAGGTTTGTACAGTCGTGACATTTTGTCAACTTATGTATAATACTCAATTCCGTAGCAATATCATCCTACATATGCTACTCAAACAAGTTAAGGATCATTCGGTCTTTTCCTATGCTAAAATGTAATCATAATGCATTAACTATTAGAGCTGTGACGATATATCGTAGTATCGATAATCGTGATACTTTTCTGACAATAAATATATCGATACTTTTTTCCGTATCGTGATATGTATCGTTGACCTTAAAATTGTGAATTTTCACCAGAAATTGACGGTTATGTCAAAATTTACACTGTTTCTTGTTATCAAAATAAACTTTTTAAAAGAAAATAACGAATGATAGCATATCGTGATATGCATCGTATCGAATCGTATCGTTCCATATCGCAATACTTATCGCATCGTGAAATGTCTGTATCGTCACACCTCTATTAACTATGTATATATATTTGAAAGAATCATATATAATCATATATAAAGTGGTATATAAAGGAACCTCCTGTTTACTAATAGATTGTGGAAAATACAACAACACAGTCGTCAGCTGAAATTCTATCAGACTGAATAAGAGGAGAACCCAAAATGTTTACGCTAAACCAATCAGATTACAGGAATTATTCCTGTTTTGTTGTCAGGTACATCCAGTACGACTGGTGGTGGTACTATTACGACAAGAACCACGGTGTCATCACATGGGAAGCCAAACCTAGCATCTTTCCTGATGGATTGCAGTGAGATGTTAACTGATTGTCTTAAATCAGAGACCATACAATGTCTCTGCTTAAATGCAGTGAAACAAGAAAAGCCTGGGTTCTACTAAAATGGAATGGATTTTCCGATTCTGCAATTTGAAATTATATACTGAATTAGTACAAGTGTGCTCTATTACGTGTGGATTTGTTTTGAATTGAAAGTGTATGACTTTATCAACGTTTTTGATCAGTAAAAACACAGAATGTGCTTAAATTAGAGATGTATAGAAAACTCGATTTCCACATTAACCATGAAGTAAAGCGGGACAATATTTTCGGATTAGCCACCTGGTCACGTGGCTCCTAATTTGCTACAGCTATGTTCATTGGTCATTTGGAATTGTTTAAAGTTCAGTTTGAATCTCAGTTCAGAGAGACATTTCACCCGAGAGACAAATTCAGCCTGATTAAAGGAGGCGTTTTCGCTTCCAACCAATAAATATTGTGTTTGGTCATGCTGATAATTTCTTATATCTCATAATGCAATAAACTATATTAAGGAACATACATATACATTATTCGCTTTCTGATCGTTATTCATTATGAATGCATGAAGCGCCTTTGTCAGTATATATATAAAATGGTTGCTGTTAGAACTGTTTATGTCAATATTACTTAAATAACCCCCTTTCTTCGTGTGTTACAAGGTGGCTGTATAACAAGACGGAACTTCCTGTTCTTGCCCACAGCATGTTCTGGTGAGTCATGTGATAAGATAATGACTATAATAAGCATGAAAATATATACTGAGGGAAACAAATAAGGGAACACATGAAAGCACAGGCATTATTCTTTTCAATGTCTCTTCACACTGTGGATGTGAATCTGAGTATAAATAGAGGAACACTGCGATGTGGTGTTCCCTTATTAGTTTCCTTCAGTATACATACGGCACATGTGGAATGTCATTTCTTCTTTGGACTATGTTTCCGTTTTGTACCTGCCTTGTACAAACACAACTCCATCTAAAACTGCAGGTCAAAACAAAGTATATACGTATTTTGGATGGTGTGTGAAGGTAAAACAAACAATATTATGTGTTTGGGTACAGCTCTGTGACATTTTCAGTTTATACGTTTTGGGCCAATCAAAGTTTTTGGTTTTTGTTGGGTTTTTTTGCAATCCAGATACATCGGTTCTCGGGAGTATTGATCACTTCCTCATATCCGTATTTTGTTTTTATTCAAAGTTTCAAGTGAATACGTCCACCTTTCCAGCAGTTAACCCTTTAACTGTATAAGCTTTACATAAGTCATTTTCCTCTCTTAATAATTACAGTGGAGCACTTGTTTACCTACGCCATCTTAATAGCAGAGTGCAACCGTAAACAGTCGTAAACATACCTATAAACAGTTCTCATTTGATAGAGGTTCAAGAGTTAGGGGAACAAAAAAAACCCCAAAACCCTTGAAACTTTTATGCATAACAACTTCATTTTACTTGATGAAGGCGTTTCGGGTACCTTCGAGCGCAACCATTAGGTGACATGATACGCCATTCGTCCAATCAGATACGAGAATGCTGTTTCTATAGCAACACAAACGGGACAAATGTTAGGGTCGTCTTCTGTCGCTAGGCGAAGTAACGCTGTGTATTGTTGTTTCTTTCAACAGTGCCGGTGACGCTATTTTCATTCTCGAATAACAGAATACGTACTTTTTAAAACAGAATTAAAACGTTGTATGCGGGACAAAAACACCCGATTTTATAAAATGCATGCACAATAGGAACTGAATACAATGGCTGGCCAGATTTGCTTACTTGCCCTTGCACTATGGCTTGATCATTTAGTGGAGGTAAGGCGTTTTTTTCCAATACACGTGTTGTAGACAGTAGGTCATGAAGTGTTACACAGAGATGAATAGACGACTAGCTTTGAGGGGTCGACAGATTATCATGCGTATAAGGCCCGTAAGTCTCGCGAGGCGCTACTTCCGCTACTAGATTTCCGGTGACAAGCGAATACTCAAGAACCAGTTCTGGTACCAAATTGCGCGACCGCCAAATATCACCTTACTAGACCGGACCAAGTATACTACCATGCTTGGCTGTAACAGCTGGTGACAGTCGGAATAATTGGATCATTTTGGGACGATAAGATCGAAAAATTATTATTCCTTCAAGGATTATCGGTTTCTTACTGACAACCGACAACAATGAGTCAATTCGAAGACATATGAGTACATTTCTTTAGCTATAATATATTTTTGACAGCCAGTGCAGTTCTATCGCTAAACGTGTTTCTTTTCAGTATCGCGGACAGTGTTTGTCAGAAAATATATTTCGGGAATCAATGACATGGTTAACGTAAAATGTATTTGAGTAAACTTTATTTATTGAATTAATAAAACTATTAATTAATATACTGCTATTCATAAAAGAGTCATGTGTTACCAACTTTATCGAGTTGATGGTCTATTCATATTTGGCATTGACTGTCATTTCCATTTTCAATTAAAGTATGTAATTTCCAAATTAGAATATTTTTGTTTGTTTAATGTTTTATTTATTTTCTAAATACATTTGTTATGCTGCAGCAATATTTTCAGTAACTATTTCAAATTAAAAACTATTTTATACATATCAATATTCATATTTGTTAGGAACTATTTAATAGATATAATCAATGGAGACAATTGGCTTTATGCAATGTAAAATGCATGTGTAAACTAGTTGGTAGGCTTGACATATAATTTTACTCTCTTCCAAGTCTGTGGATGACTGTATGCAAGTTCAGGTGACAGAATGACTCAAAGATACAAGAAATAAATTGTTTGTTGCTTTGCAAATGTGAAAGAAAATGCATTATAAATTTTACTTTGGATAGATGACAGGGATCTGCATGTGTCAAATTGTTTCTTTGCCATGCTGTAAATATATTGATAATGATATATTAAATAAATAGCAGTTCTTGTAACATTATTTAAAAAAAATATAAATATATGAACTTTGCCATTTATGGTGAAGTTTTTATACACACAAAAAGTCATAGAGTCACAAATCAATCAACAGCTCGAAATAATATAAAATGACCGTGATGGCATGGTTACAATTATTTCGGTTACTACTGTCAGATATTCAAAACAAAAACGTGAAAACTTTCAGCCATATGAATATTCATCATGAAACAATTATTTATCAAATTATGTAAACATTATTTTAGTGGGGTGATATATAAAAACTGGTTGTTGGACAATATTAATTACACTTTGTACTAGATGTCTTGGATGTTGTAAATTATGTACTATGATCTACAGTACATGCGTGTTACTTAGTTCTTGGTTATGCAGGGGTGAGGTTCTGCTGTGCTGTAAGCAAAATATGAAGCAGCACACACCACCTTCAAGTCACAATTGGCAAAAATGCAAGACCAAATATACTCAAATATGGAGTAATCACGCAAAGACATTTCCTGTATTGTCTTTACTCGAGCTTGACCTCGATTTGACAACCTTGACCTCGATCTGGAGCATAAACAGGTAATTGTGTATCGGGACGATAACAAGCAAGATATGAAAACTAGGCAATGGTAATCTTGACACATCTACGATGTCATGGCTATCGAGTGATCGATGGTGCTTTTTGAAAAATCCACAAAAAGTAAGCTTGTCACAGTTGCCTGCATTTAACCAAGTGTGGGTCTGGCGATCCAATGGTCGATGGTATGAGTAACGATCTACTCCGTGGGGCACTGTGACACGCCATCAGCAGGGTTACACACTGTAGTCACGTGACCAACTTTCAAACCAGGTTCACCCCACACCAGTGTTCCTATGGAATCCTATAGGGGTTTACGTACGTAGAAAAAGAAGTGTTTAACTTTTGTTCGTGTTTATGAATGTAACAATCTTACTAAACGGTCCCTTGGGTTTCTCCTAGGTCCAGCAACACGACTTATGCCAAAGCTAATGGAGGGAAGTACGACTTCCTGATTGAGGGTGAAAAGTCTTTACCGTTGGAGGAGGTAACGGCTATATTTCTATCGGTGACACGTTTTCTTTGTAAGTGGGAGTGGTGGGTAGCCTAGTGGTCGTCACGCCGAAGGTCCCGGTTCGATTTCCCACATGAATACAAGGCGTGAAGACCATTCCTGGTGTCCCCTGCCGTGATATTACTGGGATATTGCTATAAACGGCACAAAAACAAACCCGGCAACCTCAACTCCCTTGGGAGTATGATAAGCAATAAACCACTTCACCAAGGTCGACAACTCGGCCCATTAAGCCACCCCTTACTACAAACACAGATTTCTTGGACAAATATAATCAAATCCGGGAGAGCCTATGATCATGATATTACAATGAAAATACTGAGAAAACCCCAACATATTTACGTACTTATTTTTAACTCTGAGGACTATAAAATTGATTCAATTCGGGTTAAAACAGTAACATTAAGAGTAAAAGTTTGTGGGGACAGTTTGTTTTCGTAACCGGGGATTCAACACATCCAAATTCGAGACAACGAGTTTCGACTATTAGTATTTTAAAGCACGAACAGAGTATTTCCCGGATGTAACAGCGACACTGTTGCATGTATTGTCTTCATTCTCATTATATCTCTCGTGAATCATAGCCTCGTGGTTATTAATACCATTGGGATTCTTATTTGAATAATTGCAGTTAAGATAGTTGAAGGAATATATGATTTATTTCTCCCTCAGACAAACAAATCGAACATGCTGATGTAAGTTACCATTTGTCATAAACGTCTGTGGTATTGAATAAACGGCACGTATACTTCATGTTTACATATACCTCATATGCATATTGTAGCTGTCACATTGTATCAGGCAATGAGGGCGGCGGGTAGCCTAGTGGTTAAAGCGTTCGCTCGTCACGCCGAAGACCCGGGTTCGATTCCCCGCATTGGTACAATGTGTGAAGCCCATTTCTGGTGTCCCCGCCGTGATATTGCTGGAATATTGCTAAAAGCGGCGTAAAACCATACTCACTCACTCACTATAAGGTAATGGCAGACGAAGAAGCGTTGGTCAACTCCCTCCACTAGTTCCGCGGAAGATACTGTGCCGTGTATGTGACGTAGTGACATAAGCTCCGCCCACTCATGAATATTAATGATTTCTGTGCACTTAAGACCATTGTAGGTTTAAGGGCACAACAAACGTCTTATTTACAGGAACCATTCATTACTTTTCAGAAATTCTGGAATGATTTGCTAGCTGATGCAAGGAAGTGGGGCTTGTTGGTCTACGAACAGGTGAGATCTCTCGTTCCTGAACATACAGCTCACATGAAGTTGAGGAATGCACAATTATTTTGTGAGGAGCGTTTCCATGTAGTTGCAACTCTGGAGTGATAGAGTAACAATTCAAAGTGTCATTCCCACAGCGTTCCTGAAAATATCAATACATCGATACGCCGTAAATGGGCGAGGAGCAAAAACATAGCTGACCTTTAAAAGCTTTGTGAGGTGTTTTGCAACTATATCAAGCACCACGAAAAGTATATCAATCGCATATTGTTTTCTAGGATTTCCTGAATATTGAATTTGAAAGAGTTCACAAACTGTGGAGCGACATCGACCTGGGACGACAATGGCTGCATCAGATGGGTAACGGCGCCGCTAAGAATGGGCTGACACTTCAATACTGCATGGCGTTACCGCGCAACGTACTGCAAGCGTTGGAGATACCCAGTTGTTACACAGGTATCGTGAGAGAACAGACTGGTTGGTTTGTTGTGTTCCAGCTATATGGCACTGGTCTGTAAATAACCAAGTCTGAACCAGAGAATTTAGTGATCAACAGCCTGAGCACCGATCTACACTATTCGTCACACGGTGTTTGAAAGGGCGTACGGGACTGTAAGACCCTTGTAAATTCCGCATTTCCCGAGGCGCTTACGGAATTTACAAGGGTCTTACAGTCCCGTAACCCTTTCAAAACACCATGTGACGAAATTATGACCCTTAAGATCTCTTTAAAAATCAACATTCAATTGAAAATAACAAAAAAACGACAATAAACTTCATACAGTATGTTTAATCAAACAGTCAACGGTCACGCTCATAAAGGGAGATAACTCGTGATAGCTTAGTTTATGATAAGATGATCGAATTTTAGGTGTTTGCAAAACGAAAAATGAAATATAGAAACATTATACTTTTTTATATTCTATTGATGCAAACAAATAAGAAATTATGGCAACAATTTTATTACTCTGTTTATACTCATAATTGTATACGCCAGCTCTACAATTTCGAAACGATCAGCTGTTTGGCAGCCATATTCCGTCTAAGGTCAAGGTAATTTGTACAATCCAGCGTAGTGTGTCACGTGACACATTTGACGGTTCGTACACCCTGGCAAATCCGCCTACATGGTTTCGTATGCTTTGGCTATTGACCAATCAGAAAAACAAATTTATCTTAAGGGTAATAAAATTGATACGATGGCATGTGTCAAACAAAGTCAGCGAGCCTGACCACCCGATCCTGCGTTGCCTCTTACAACAGTCTTGACCAATTCTAACCAGAATCTTCACGGGTTTGGGTGAGAGAACAGGAACTTACGCTACATTTTGAAGTTTTTGCTCTTTAACCTAAAAAGGTTTATATTTTCATTTGTCACATCATACGCCACATCGTTCCAGGCCCGTGCCAGCGACGACTACATTCCCAATACGGTCAACTGGAAGGTGGGCGTTACGTCACTGTTTGCGTGGGCTCTCGGCATTGCACCCTTCAAGGACAACTTCTGGACAACCAGCGTTCAGCCTGGAAACCCATACCGTATGTAGAGCGCTGTCAGTCCATGCATGCTATAAAGTTCATATCTGCTTTGTTTGGTAGTGTTTATGCGATGCACTCAGAGGTTATCTTGTGTCTATAAATAACTAAATGTGGACAAGGCAAACCAGACGTTCCGAGCAACGGTGTCCACCCTTGGTGTACGATGACATGCAACCAGCCAAGTCATAAGTCTGGTCAACTTTTCACTTACATATAGTCCGTAAATTAAAATTATGTACAAGGTTAAATAAATACAGTCAAGGGTAGAATCCCCGAGTAGCCTCAAATGTAAGAAGATTACAGGCCGCTCGAGTTGGGAGGGTATGGTGGTGGAAATATATACAGCATACCCTGGTTATAATGCCACCGTTTGTCCAGAAGAAAATGTGGCATTATATCCAGGGTGGCATTATAACCAGGTAGGACAGTTAGACTGACTGACTGAGTTTGGTTTTACGCCGCTTTTAGCAATATGCCAGCAACATCACGGCGGGGGACACCAGAAATGGGCTTCACACATTGTACCCATGTGGGGATTCGAACCCGGGTCTTCGGCGTGACGAGCCAACGCTTTAACCCTTAGGCTACCCCACCGCCCAGGACAGTTAGAGGCCCTATGTAATCAACAAGGTGATTGAGCTGATGTCTCCTGTAATGAACCTTGAATGTCTGGATAATCCCAGCATCTAGGGGCTGCAGGCTGGAGGTGTACATGTATTGTTAGGATAAGCGCTACAGAGAGAATAATTTGTTCATTTGTATGTACTTACTGTTTAATGCCGCACTCAGCAATATTCCAGCTATATGACGGTTGTGTGTCAATAATCGATCCTGGACCAAGCCAGTGATCAACAACATGAGCATCGATCTACTCAATTGGGATACGATGACATGTGTCGACCAAGTCAGCGAGCCTGACCGCCCGATCCCGTAAGTCGCCTCTCTCGACAAACATCTTCACGTTTATTGGGAGTGTATAACAAAGGACAGGCGATCTCACCGCCACATTCTAACTTTGAATATGCAACTTTTCCAGGTTGTTAAATTATATATGTATATTGTTTCAGACGGTGCCACGGAGCCGAATACGGCCCTGAACGCTGTGGTAGCAACCCTCAGTACAGGCCCAGTAGGAGTCAGCGACATGGTGGGGTGTATAAACAAGACGCTTATTATGAAGTAGGTTGACAGTCATCATGAAGTAGGTTGACAGTCACGGCAAAGTAGGTTGACAATCATCATGAAGTAGGTTGACACTCATCATGAAGTAGGTTGACACTCATCACGATGTAGGTTGACAGTCATCACGATGTAGGTTGATAGTCATCATCAATCATCACGATGTAGGATCATCATGAAGTAGGTTGACACTCATCACGATGTAGGTTGACAGTCATCATGATGATGTCAGAAGTTGACAGTCATCATGATGTAGGTTGACAGTCATCATGATGTAGGTTGACAGTCTCATCATGATGTAGGTTGACAGTCATCATGAAGTAGGTTGACACTCATCATCATCATGAAGTAGGTTGACATGAAGTAGGTTGACAGTCATCATGAAGTAGGTTGACAGTCATCATGAAGTAGGTTGACAATCATCATTAGGTTGACAGTCATCATGATGTAGGTTGACAGTCATCACGATGTAGGTTGACAGTCATCATGATGTAGGTTGACAGTCATCATGAAGTAGGTTGACAGTAGGTTGACAGTCATCATGATGTAGGTTGACAGTCATCATGAAGTAGGTTGACAGTCATCATGATGTAGGTTGACAGTCATCATGAAGTAGGTTGACAGTCATCACAATGTAGGTTGACAGTCATCATGATGTAGGTTGACACTCATCATGATGTAGGTTGACAGTCATCATGAAGTAGGTTGACAGTCATCATGATGTAGGTTGACAGTCATCATGATGTAGGTTGACAGTCATCATGAAGTAGGTTGACAGTCATCATGAAGTAGGTTGACAGTCATCATGATGTAGGTTGACAGTCATCATGAAGTAGGTTGACAGTCATCACGATGTAGGTTGACAGTCATCATGATGTAGGTTGACAGTCATCATCATGAAGTAGGTTGACAGTCATCATGATGTAGGTTGACAGTCATCATGATGTAGGTTGTAGTAGGTTGACAGTCATCATGAAGTAGGTTGACAGTCATCATGATGTAGGTTGACAGTCATCATGATGTAGGTTGACAGTCATCATGATGTAGGTTGACAGTCATCATGAAGTAGGTTGACACTCATCATGAAGTAGGTTGACAGTCATCATGATGTAGGTTGACACTCATCATGATGTAGGTTGACAGTCATCATGATGTAGGTTGACAGTCATCACGATGTAGGTTCATCATGATGTAGGTTGACAGTCATCATGATGTAGGTTGAAGTAGGTTGACAGTCATCATGATGTAGGGTTGACAGTTCATCATGAAGTAGGTTGACACTCATCAGGTTGATGTAGGTTGACACTCATCATGAAGTAGGTTGATCATGAAGTAGGTTGACAGTCATCATGAAGTAGGTTGACACTCATCACGATGTAGGTTGACAGTCATCATGATGTAGGTTGACAGTCATCATGATGTAGGTTGACAATCATCATGAAGTAGGTTGACAGTCATCATGAAGTAGGTTGACACTCATCATGAAGTAGGTTGACAATCATCATGAAGTAGGTTGACAGTCATCATGAAGTAGGTTGACACATCATCATGAAGTAGGTTCATCATGATGTAGGTTGACAGTCATCAGGTTGACAGTCATCATGAAGTAGGTTGACAGTCATCATCATGAAGTAGGTTTGACAGGTTGTCATCATGAAGTAGGTTGACAGTCATCGATGTATGACAGTCATCATGAAGTAGGTTGACAGTCATCATGAAGTAGGTTGACACTCATCATGATGTAGGTTGACAGTCATCATGATGTAGGTTGACACTCATCATGATGTAGGTTGACAGTCATCATGATGTAGGTTGACACTCATCATGAAGTAGGTTGACACTCATCATGATGTAGGTTGACAGTCATCACGATGTAGGTTGACAGTCATCATGATGTAGGTTGACAGGTTGACACTCATCACGATGTAGGTTGACAGTCATCATGAAGTAGCAGTTGACACTCATCATGAAGTAGGTTGACAGTCATCATGAAGTAGGTTGATCATGATGTAGGTTGACAGTCATCATGAAGTAGGTGATGTAGGTTGACAGTCATCATGAAGTAGGTTGACACAGTCATCATCATGATGTAGGTTGACAGTAGGTTGACAGTCATCATGAAGTAGGTTGACAGTCATCATGATGTAGGTTGACAGTCATCATGATGTAGGTTGACAGTCATCATGATGTAGGTTGACAGTCATCATGATGTAGGTTGACAGTCATCATGATGTAGGTTGACACTCATCATCATGAAGTAGGTTGACACTCATCATGATGTAGGTTGACAATCATCATGATGTAGGTTGGTTGTAGGTTGACAATCATCATGAAGTAGGTTGACAGTCATCATGATGTAGGTTGACAGTCATCATGAAGTAGGTTGACAGTCATCATGAAGTAGGTTGACACTCATCACGATGTAGGTTGACAGTCATCATGAAGTCCTTTGACAGTCATCAATCATCAAAAAGCAGGGTTGACAGTCACCTCAGTGAGTTGACAGTCATTAGAAAGTAGCTTGACAATCACCAATCGTCTTGAAATAGTTTGACACACATTTGAAAGTAAGTTGAAAATCACCATGAAGAAGGTTGTTGATTTTCATGCGGTAGGTGTCCAGTCGTCAGGAACTAAGTTGACACTCATCACCAAGTACCTTGAAAATCATCATGAAATAGGTTGATAATCATATGAAGCATTTTGACAACCATCCCGAAGTATGTAAACAATAGTCAACAATTGGACTTTGACAATGCAAAGTGACTTCTTTGATGGTCATTTTATAAATTGAGTTGATGAAGAATAATGACAATTATTATTACAACTTCTTTTATTCTGTGGAGGTGACGTTTCGAAATAGGTTCTAATGTCGTTGTCACGCAAGTGATACATGAGTAACAAATTGAGAGAATATACACAGGAGTTGTTGTTACAGTAGATAGGGAATGAATATGCCACCCTACTGGCTTCCTATCAATTTACTCAATCTCTCATACAAACGTTGTACATCAACCTCATCTATTGTATAAACAACTCATTCCCTATCTACTGTAACAACACTCCTGTATATATTCTCTCAATTTGTTACTCATGTATCACTTGCTTGACAACAACATTAGAACCTATGTCGAAACGTCGCCTCTACAGAATAAAAGAAGTTGTATAGCCATAATAATTGTCATTATTCTTCATTTTTAATGCAAAGTGGGTTGACAATTGTCCCAAAATATGAAAAATATCAAAGAGGATTGACAATAACCTTGAAGTATGATAACAAGTCTCATATTGATGAACTATGTTGACAATAATAATTGCACCACAGTCATAAGCCAAATCGGTAGATTCTATTCCACTGTTGGCGAATAAAACATTGCTGCTCTGAAAGGTCGATGTTATGTGGAAACTAACGTATCTCACAAAGTTTACCTCAGTAACCTGTTTACCTTTCTTGTGTCACCAGTAGGACCATGTCGGCAACATGTTAACGGAAACACTCATTATCTTGCCTCACACATAAATGTCGTTTTCTGATTGGCTGAGCGCTCTTCTATTATTTTTAATGTACCCCACTCACAAGCGAGTAACATTTCTATGTACCCCGCTGGGAATGCCGAACTCATTTGGTACTTCGTGGTAGTTATTCTTTATCTCGAATAACATTGAATCACGTATGATGTACGGATATTACCGATGTTTTGCGAATGCAAATTGATGGAAGGGAGATAACTCTAAATCTGTTTTTCTTGTCGTCTGCAAAATCTAGCGATGGCTACAAAAAGTTTTAGACCCGTGCCTCAAACAATTCAGAATTAACATTGAGGTGTTTGGTAAGATAAATACGTTGTTCACTAGTCCCTCGGGGCCAATGGGTTGATGTACCCTCGATGTTTGTGGGTATATTAACCCATGTTCCCCTCGTGACCAGTAAACAACTTATAATAAATCTTATTAATAGAACATCTGTCTTTTCTTGTCAAATATACCGTTAATCTCATTTGATGACCAGACACGGTTTGTGATATTCCCAGGGCCACTTCTAGCAACAGCTTGGCTAGAGGTTTTTGTTGTAGTTTTCAATTTCTTTCATTCTTTCTACAGATCTGTCAATACGGACGGCCTCATCTTAAAGCCATCCCGACCAGCGACGGCAATCGACAACACGATAAGAAGGGTACCTCTTTACACTGTATACACCGAAACACCGTCAGACCGGAAGTCTCGCTTTACCGACCGTTTCTTTTAAGAGCTATTACATATACTAAAGATATTTGATGGGGAACGGTAACCCGTTGGGATGCTGGATACAGATATGGGCCCAAAGCAAACTATTTCTGTAATTCTCGACTAGATGGCTCGGTTTGTTTTTCTTGAAAGTCTGGACCAGACAATCCAGTGATCAACATCATTAGGATACGATGAAATGTATCAAGCAGCGAGCCTGACTACTCAATCCCGTTAATCGCCTCTTAGGACAACCATGTGTTGCTGAACACCAATTCTTACCCTGATCTTCACGGGTAGGTTGGTAACTTGTATACAATCAAGAGATGCACATGTAATTTGAATATTTAACATGAAAATGTTCGCAATACATTAAGTTTTCATTTTGTCTCATGCTCAAAGTTGGTTTTCCCAGCGCGCCTGGCCGGACTTTGAGGGTCCAGACGGGGAGGTGTGGTCCACGTATTCCGATTTTGGGGGCGAGAACAAGTACGGCATCATCCTGGCCGCTGATCTGGTGGGAAGCTACACCATGACGCCATGCATGGCGGGATACCAAGGGGTGAGAAATGCCAAATTATTGTACTACTGTTTTGTATAATTGTTCTCAGAATAGATGGATGGATTGAACTAAACTTGCCTTGACTGCCAGTTCGCCCGGACGTTGTGTCCCTTTAAGATGAACGTTGTCAATGTTATATTTCTAGTTTCCCAACTCGATGGTGTTCCCTGCCAATGATCCTAACAAGATCCAACCTCTGACGGATCCCCAACCTCTGACTATGAGTGGCTGCACCACTGTTGACTTCTGTCTCTTCTATGTATCGCCGGTACTCAAGGTCAATGGGTATGTGTTTTTTGTGCACTTTAACCCAGGCAGGTGCCGATATATATAAATATTCTGGGGGATGGGGATATGAGATTTGTTTGAGAATAATCCACAGTTTTCGAAACCAGAAGGGATCTTGCTGTTATTAAACAACATTGCTCACACAAACTTCATAATGTTCTGAATCAATTTATTTTTGTATTATTATAGTATGGGTGTGTGAGTGAATGATGTATTTACGTATAAAACATAAAAAACCTCAGGTCTGTCAGGCAATGCACATGTAGCCTAGTGGTTGAAGCGTTCGAAGACCCAGGTTCACATCCCCACACGGGTAAAATGTGTGAAACCCATTTCTTGGTGTCCCCCGCCGTGATGCTGCTTGAATTGTGCTAAAAGCGGCGTAAAACTAACCCACTCACTCACCAGCGACCTGAGTGTAAATACAGTCCATTTTAGTTCAGTGTAGTTCTCACAGCACATCAAGAATATTACTGAAGTTAAAGTACATTCATCGACAAACACTTTCGTGATATCATAGCAGAATATTACTGAAGTTAAAGTACATTCATCAACAAACACTTTCGTGATATCATAGCAGAAATATTACTGAAGTTAAAGTACATTCATCGACAAACACTTCCGTAATGTCATAGCAGGAATATTACTGAAGTTAAAGTACATTCATCGACAAACACTTCCGTGATATCATAGCAGAAATATTACTGAAGTTAAAGTACATTCATCGACAAACACTTTCGTGATATCATAGCAGGAATATTACTGAAGTTAAAGTACATTCATCGACAAACACTTTCGTGATATCATAGCAGAATATTACTGAACTTAAAGTACATTCATCGACAAACACTTTCGTGATATCATAGCAGAAATATTACTGAAGTTAAAGTACATTCATCGACAAACACTTCCGTAATGTCATAGCAGGAATATTACTGAAGTTAAAGTACATTCATCGACAAACACTTCCGTAATGTCATAGCAGGAATATTACTGAAGTTAAAGTACATTCATCGACAAACACTTCCGTGATATCATAGCAGGAATATTACTGAAGTTAAAGTACATTCATCGCCCAGACAGTTCCGTGATATCATAGCAGGAATATTACTGACGTTAAAGTACATTCATCGCCCAGACACTTCCGTGATATCATAGCAGAGATATTACTGAAGTTAAAGTACATTCATCGCCCAGACACTTCCGTGATATCATAGCAGGAATATTACTGAAGTTAAAGTACATTCATCGCCCAGACAGTTCCGTGATATCATAGCAGGAATATTACTGACGTTAAAGTACATTCATCGCCCAGACACTTCCGTGATATCATAGCAGAGCTATTACTGACATGAAAGTACATTCATCATTCAGACAGAGTTCCGTGATATCACAGCAGGAATGTTGATAATGCTATACTACAGTAATTTCTCAGACGGTGTTTCCCGATTACGCATATGTGCTTCTGTTGATTTGTATTTCTCCCTCAAACAGTAAACAGGTGCTAATCCAAGATGAGCTGGATAAATGGGTACCGATGTCGCCACAGAGACAGAGATATTGTGGGCCTTGGCCGGGGATATTGTTTGAGACAGAGATATCCTGGGGATATTTTTCGAGGCAGATATTCTGGGTCTTTGCTGGGGATATTGTTTGAATCATTGGGGTATTGTTCGAGAGTGAATGGGTGATTGAGCGAGTATGGTTTTATGCCCTTAGATTATTTTACAGCAATATCACGGCGGGTCTAGGCAGAAATGGGTTTCAGACATTGTGCTTGTGTGGAATCGAACCTTGGCCTTCGAAGAGCAAACGCTTTAACCACCAGGCTATACCACCCTCAATATTCCTTATTATCTCCCTTCAGCAAACAAGTGCTGATCCAAGGTGAGCTGGACAAATGGGTGCCGATGTCGCCGCAGAGAGTGACGGACATCAACGTTGCCGACGACATCACCCTCAGTCTCACCGGAGCTGCCTACGAAACTGTCAAGTTCTGGTTCAACGTGGACGGTAAATCCTCACCTTTGACCTGTACTCTCGGACCAGGCAGTCAAGCTGTCCTTAGCTTCACAGCAGGTGCATGTCGTGGAATATAGATAACAAAACATACATCCTGGAATGTGTGCATGTGTTAAGTACACATCTAGTCAAAACATGCTTCCTCTTGATGGCGAGTGACATGTGGACTTTTGTTTATTGTTGTTTATGATGGAATAAAAATACCCAGTCTATGTCAAGTCAGTCTGTTATGGAATACTGTAAGGGACATTCTCGCGATCTCGCATTCTCGCGATCTCGTCCTTTGGAAACAAGCTAAAAATGCCAAAAGTGCGAGAATGCGAGATCGCGAGAACGCGAGATTTGGCCAAAATCTCGCGTTCTCGTGTTTTTGGTACATAGCACTTTTTGTCAAAAGTCGAGATCGCGAGAATGGGACATTTGTACATGCTGTCAAATCTCGCATTCTCGCAATCTCGACTTGTCAAATATGGCCACAAAAACACGAAATCGCGAGAACGCGAGAATGCGACATTTCATTTTCTCGCGTTCTCGCGATCTCGCGATCTCGCGTTTTAGACGCTGTCGTTGCGCATGCGTAATATCATAAGGTCAAGGCGCATGCGCATCTTAGTAGTGCTGTGGTCATGCTTCTTTCGTGCTTTTCATTTCCCAAGTAGCATTTAGCAAAATTATGACATAGCTTGAAAATGCTATGTAATTTACATACGCGATGTGTAGGGTAGTGTATATAAGTCCGCTGCCGTTGTTACAATTTCCTATGTACTTAAAAATCCTCAACGTGTTTAATATAATTTAACAAAAGGAATTGTGAATATGAATGTCCAATAAAAGGGAAAACATGAAAGTGTCCGGAAGCTGGAAATATATTAACGTCAGTGAGTGATAAAATAGTTCTCAAAGCCGCATCAATTCGCAGCTACACCGTCAGTTATACAAATAATCACAGACCAGTGAGTTTCTCCATGATGCAATATCATATACGGCTAGCATATTCATTCAAACAAAATTCTAACAGGCCAATTTGTAGCAGTCGGCTAAAATGAACATGTCTGATGTTTTACTCGACACCATATCCGCTACTTTAATAGATTTTCTTCCGCTCCCGCCTGACTACAAAGCATCCTGCTTTATAGTATTCTTTTGTCTTCAAGTTCCAAGAAATAGAAATACATTTGTATCTCTAATAGTTGTGTTCCTGTGGCAGCCATGATATGGCGGAGTTCCAATGTGTTATTAACCACAGACTACGGGTTATGAGTGAGATATCTGTTTATTTCCATATCGTGGTGGAAGAAGACACCCTGTAATAACAATAATATACACGATATCTACAACATAAAATCACATCTGATGAACATGTTATCATAATAAATATAGTGCATAAATGTGCCTATCAACAGTCATATACCGGTATTACGCGATGCAATATAACACAGGTGACTTACGTGATCACGTGTTTACAGTGATCTACATAATGAGTGTTGACATAAAGACTTATAATAATACATGGTATAATAATGAAATAGACAATAGATACTGTACAAATAACCTATCCTGTGGGTGACACGAGAATGGGTTTGCACATCCAGCAGCCGAACAGTCATCGCATGCACTAATCCCATATAAGAATCTTTGTCAAGTACATACAATATACATGATAGATGAGATATATCAATCTTACATGATACAGAAAATAGTTACCAAAGCAACAACTACTAGCCAGCATATTGACTGGACATATAGAAAACTACCATAAGCACATTCATACACGTTAAATGGTATATTGTGTATTGACTTTTATTTTGTTATCATGGGAATATTTATACCTATTTTGTGTAATGATTAATATTAGGGTTTAATTTACTATGTATGTTATATTATAATGCATAATAACTAACCTTTGATTCTGACCTAACTGTGACACAGAACTGTACATGAAACACAAAGACACCCGTGAAGGTCCGGGTTAGAATGTATCTTCAGGAACTCGTGTTTGTCGTAAGTGGCGATTAACGGGATCGGGTGGTCAGGCTCGCTGACTTGGTTTACACATATCATCGGTTCCCAATCGCGCAGATTGATGCTCATGATGTTGATCACTGGATTGTCTAGTCCACACTCGATAATTTACATACAGCCGCCATATAAACTAAACTCAATCACTCACTCACTGAAACACAAGGACAAGAGGCAGCTGAACTGACAACTAATTGCAACTTAAATGCATAAAGAATTCGTCGTCTGCGAGACCACTATATCCTGATATAAGATAATGACGATTAGTTATTCTTTTATGTACACAATATACAACCACCTAATTCACCCCTGTTACATCCCTACTTTCTTTTCTTGATGAACATGCATGATGCATGTGAATCGAATCCTTCTACAGTAAATGTACACAGGTGCCTTAAAAAGTTCGATTAGACAAAAATAAAATGTAAATAAACATACTTCCCACCTCCCATGTGTTTTTTAGAAATTAATCAATCTATGTCTATTAATTTATTGCGGCCTTACCTTCACAAGCTCGGCATGGTAATATTGGAAATTAACCCCCATTCACAGCCCGGGGCACGTGCATAGCTCTAAATAAGTGAGTGAGTTTGGCTTAACACGACTTTCAACAGTATTTATCTTTCAGTTATATCACGGATTATCAGTTTGATGTAGGATGAAACCCACCAGCATAGGTTTCTGGCACGCTCAAGGGACGCAACTCCATTGCCACGACTGAGCTACCCGTGATCACAGTTCAAGATGACTGTATAGGTAATTGGTAGAAAAACGCGAGATCGCGAGATCGCGAGATTTGTCAAGTGTCGCAATCTCGCGTTCTCGTGTTTTTGAAAATCGTTACATAGAACTGTATGGGCAATTGAAACAAAAGCACGAGAACGCGAGAACGCGAGATCGCGAGATTTGTCAAATGTCGCAATCTCGCGTTCTCGCGTTCTCGTGTTTTTGAA